CAACCCTCATTCTTAGTGAGTGTTGTTGCAAAAACTTCGTTACTCTTATATATATTATTATATTACATTATACTGCTATTATTATATTACATTATACTACTATTATATTATATTACATATATTATATATATTATATCTTATATATATACATATTGTATTATTCATTCACATTTACACTTATTTACCATTATAGCTATATGTGCGCTTATTTATAATTATTTATATATGCATTTATATTTGTAATTATATTTATATTTATATTCGTGTTTGTATCTATCTTCATAAGTGTTTCTGTACTATACTGTATTTGTAGTGGCATCTATATTTGTAATTATATTTACATTCAATTCATATTTATTATATATTGTATTTATATTGCACTTACATGTATATATCTTTCTCACTCACCTTCTATTTCAGTTTCATTTTTCCTTATTCTGTCATTCACCACCTAAGCCGTAAGCAAGTTGATGAGCAACTTGCGTCAGTTTTAAAATCCGTTGTGGCCCTTAAGGCTGACAACGCCCAGCTTCGTGCTGAGAATACCTTCCTTGCAACTAAACTGGCGTTGCTCACGGGCAACCCACCAAAGTCTTCTTCTTCTTCCCTCGCCGCATTTACTGTACCCCCTTCCACCTCCACAGCTACCGTCTGTAGCATTACTAGTCTCCACAAGTCTGCGCCAAGACCGAAATCTCTGCCTAGCGCTAATTCCATCCCCAAGCCTTCTTTAGCTCCCAAGGTCCCTGTGGAACCCAATCCCTCCACTCCTTCTACTGTTCCTTTGGCTTCGGTCACTAAGTCTTCGACGCCATCAGCCATTACGGCCCGTGGCGTCAATGTCAAGGAGCTTGGCTCCGCAATAAAATCCGCTTTTCCCAATGCTGTTTATGAGTTTAAATGCGTAAATTGCACAACCACGCGTATCCTAACTAAGAGTACGGATACCTTTTACAACATCAGTTCTCTGCTCCGTGAGCAGAAAATTAAGAGTTTTGCCTCCATCCCCTGAGAGGACCGAATCACTCCTGTCCTCCTTAAGCATTTCCCCTCATCCTATGATGTCTATCGATCTGAGGGCCTCAATGAATTTCGTGAGACATGGAGTCTTATTTGCTTCTGCGGCAAAAGCCGCAACCCGCAAGCCCACTTCGCTGCCTAGAGCAGCTAAACCTTTCCCTATCCGTGCTCCTGAGCCTGACTCTTTTCTCCCTAATATTCAGGGAATCTTCGCCTTTGCTGCAGGCATTAAACAGCAGTACAGCCTTCTGTCCCAATCTCACAAGAAAGCCTTTCTTGTCCAGAAAGTCCTCGAATTAGTTTTGTGATGAATGATCTAAGAATCATTCTTATAAACGTCAATTCTATACACTCTAATCTTAGGCGTACCTTTTCCGCGGATTTTGCTGAACGCAACAACCCCCACATCATCCTTGTGACTGAAACACGGCTTAATATCAGAGACGTTGTAGATGTCAGAGGATATAATTTTATTCGGTTCGATAGGGACCGCGTCGGTGGGGGAGTCGCCATTTTGGCAAATGACTCCCTCAAGTGTACTAGGACTCATATCCCTTCACTTGTTACTCTTGAGGCGGTTGGTAATACTCTTTCTCTCTCCAACCGCTCTGATCTGAACATCTTTTGCGTCTATCACACTCCCTCTATTGCTTCGTACATTGTCCCTTGTGATCTGGGGACCCTTGCCTACTTGTTCCCTAAACCTTTCCTTATCGGTAGTGGCTTCAATAGTAAGCACCCCTTTTGGAATAATTCTGTCTCTTGCCCTAGTGGCACTATGCTATTCAACTGGCTGACTAACAGCTCAGTCAGCATTATTTTAAGTGTGGTAGCTCCATCGGTTCCGACTCATATCAATAGTATCATTGACTTTTTCTTAGCGAATAATCGCCCTCTTCCCTGCCTTGGTGACCCACGAGTCATTGACGGTATATCTTACCACCAAGCAGTAAATCTTGCGCTTCACGACTGCAGAGCTACTTGTGCCTACCCTAGTACATTTTTTAACTTTCCTAGCACCAACTGGTCTTAATGAGCATGTTCCGAAGGTGCGTGTTCGCAAATTTTATCAAGTTCCACTTGATGCTTTTACCCTTTGCCTCATTACACTGAGGAAATCGCTTTGCCACCGAACTTATCGCCTTAGACAGCTAGCGCGAACGCAAGCTCATGCGTTCCAAGCCATCCTTAAGAACCTGGACACCATAATTGCCCAGAGAGTCAACCAATCCAGGTTTAATTCCATTAGTGCCAAGCTGCGTGCCACCCAGTGCCGGTCTGACGTCTTCAGTATGGTCAGGCAAATCTGTGGATCCAATAGGTCCATCTCGGACCTCCGCTATGGCAACACCATAGCGTATGACGACCTTGATAAAGCCAACGTCTTTGGTGAAGTCTTTGTGACTAATCACCGTCTTACGGCTGACCTAGGCGAATGCCACTTTACGTCCGCTACGAATTCTAAAGTTCATTGTCTTTTCGATGCTTTTAATGAAAGCATTGTCACTTTCTCTCCACAGTTCCCCGCTCTCTGCATCAATGTTGAAGACACCTAAGGGTTTCTCACCCCTTCCAAACTCATGGACATGCTTCGGCTCAAAACGCCCAAAAAGTCATCTGGCACTGACTGCGTGTCTTTCTACGCCATGAAGCGTTTCTCACTACTCTTTTTTAAAAAGTGCTCCTTCCCCCAGCCATGGAGGAAGGCCATAGTTTGTCCCATTGCCAAAAGTGGCAAACCCAAAGCTGACCCCTTCAGCTGTCGTTTTATTTCTCTTTTTAACTCTGTCAGAAAGCTCTATGAGACTTTCATAGCAAGCAAGTTGAAGTCCTTCTCCTCTGGGAATAACATTATTCCCCCTTTTCAGTTTGGCTTTAGGAGCCAAACCTCCACCGTCCATGCCCTGCATCATCGCCAAAAGTAAATATGCACAGGCTTTTTCAATAAGCAGCCCACTGTGGCACTAAGTCTTGACATTGAAAAAGCCTTTGATACTGTCGGGTTTGAAGGCTTAATTCTTAAGCTTCACCAGTTCGGCTTCTCTTCTACGCTCTGCAGTGTAGTCCACAAATTTCTTTCCAACAGAAGCTTACAGGTACGAGTCGGTTCCTCTCTGTCCCGTGATTTCCCCATCGACTCCGGCGTCCCTCAGGGCTCGGTTCTTGGACCACTCCTTTTTAATCTGTTTATAGCAGACATCCGGCTCCCGTTGATCTCTTCCCCTTCTATATCGCCCTTCCTACCTAGTTCATGCCCTTACTTTCTGATTTAGATGAGCCTAGTTCACTAGGTATTAAATCTATTTTCCCATTTTTCTCTCTCATGATTACTGGAATGACGTTTTCACATTGTTGTGGAAATCTTCTCCTTTCATTCCTAAGAGGTGGTTTTAGTGGGTTCAAGTCTCACACTGTGGCTTTCGATGCTTTCCACCTAGTGCAACAAAAAAAAAATGCCAATTTTAATTTCATATCTTATATACCACCTTAACGAACAACAGCGATTTCAGCTAGAAGAACAAAGATATTTGGTTTTTCATGCGTTTACGGCGATTACTGCATTAAAACGAATTACAAGTTGTACGAACTTTATCTTAACCTTGATATAATTTCGTGAATTGACATCTAGCGGTTTTGCTGTTTTTGTTAATTTTGAGAGACTGGATAAAGAAGTTCCAGCGATAAAGGTGTGTGAAGTGGTAATTAAAGGTTGAATGCGTAGAGGTAGACCGTGTTACTAGTGGAGTGATCATATTAAGGAAAGACAAACCACGTTTGATGTACGAGACTGGAGAATGCGCGCCCGAGACAGAGAAATGTTTTAGCCACTTCAGTTTTTTTTTTGTTTTATTCCCAATTTATAAGCTACTAGAAGCAGCGGCAGTACAGACATTGAAGCAGAAAAATTTATGATTATGATGGTTATCGCCTACGCGTAAAATTTCGTTGCGATGACGGTCCTGGTAGTTATCTGGGTAATCGTAACGATAGAAACAACGATCGCGGTCATGTCGATGACAGTGGACGTGTTCCATCAACAAGACTCTCTTAGTATTGTGTGATGGTAACTGGTCTACCACCATCTGGTTCCTGGCACGATTTAAAAGATCATATGCGTGAAGCTGGTGATGTTTGCTTTGCAGACCCTTATAAAGATGGTACACATGTTGTTGAGTTCAAAACCTACCTACTCACCAATTCGTCAGGTATCCTATTTCAGGTCTCGTTCTCGTTCTAGGTCTAAGTTTTAAGAATACAAGAAACCAAACAAATTCCCACACGTAAATTCAAAGCCACTTAAGTGTGTGGGAAATAATGTATGTACATGAAAACTTTAACACGTGTTTTCCACTCAGATTCCGGATATATACAAAACCATAAAAAAACCTTTATTTCTTTAAAGCATGTTTTCTTTCATTAATGATTTTTTCCAAAACTGATCTGTATAAAATTAAAAATAGTGAATTTACAAAATAGTGAAATACAAACAAAAAATTATCAACATTTTGCCATAAATACAAAAATACTCAAATATAGCTATTATTCCTTACTTTAGCAGAAATGTGAAAATTTTTGTTAATATTGCACTAAAAAAATCTATATAGTGTGGATTTCGTTGCTTGGCTAAGACAAACTGTTGAGACAAGCCTCAAGATGGAGGCTCGCAACCTTTTACCATTTATGTACCATTTATTGTTTTGTCACACAAGACTACTTCGCCAATTATGTTTATGTTCAGAATTTTACTCTATATGACTATACTCAATGCTTTATGTTTATAGTCTGAATTAGGTATAATATTTGCACTCACTTTGATGTCTCTTTTTACTATAAAAATGCAAATTTAATGCGAAAGACATCATGTGGGAATTTGGCTTCAATGAATGAAAAAATAATTTAAAAAATTAAAAATAAGATGCTTAATTGAATAATAATTATCATTTAATTTTTACCATGCAGTTAAGTTTAGTTTTAATTACCTGTTTGTGTGGCTAAATATGAATAATGAGCTGCCGTGTGGAATTGGTTTTTTCATCTTTTTAATGCTAATTTCGGACACCCGTCTGGGACGTGCAGATGCTGACCTTGGAGTTACTTCAGAAGGGTATTCTTCATATATTTATATAAGTGTGTATCCATATGTATGAAAATGTTACGCATCAGGAGATATAGTTTTGAATTTTTTTATTAGTAAGGATTGGATGAAAAAAGGTATGTGTATGTAATTGATACTAAAACACTTTTATAGTTTTGAATATATAATTTTTAATTGCTTTTAAGTGCGTAGGAGATTAGCAAACTTAACTGTCAGACAAAAAAGAAAATGCCATGACTGTGAGCAAAACTGCAAGCTTGTCGTCAACATGCTGTAAATGCTAGTCTGTCACTAAAAATTTGCGTTCCGTCATTCAAAAGCATATTTTGGGTGGTAACTATCACATTCAAAAATTTTGCTTGACTAACAAATCTTGACTATGAGCATGTTCAAGTTCGGTCGGTAGAATAAAATTGAGCAAGAAAGAGCGCAACTTGACTGACAGTCATATTTGTAAATCTGCACTAACACGTTATTTAAGTGTAGGTTTATGAACATAATATAAATTAATAACGTGAATCAGTAAGATATTAGCAGTTACTGTATTTTACATTTATCTGTATATGGAAACCTTCATCGTCATTTCAAGAACAGCTACTTTTCTGTTTCGCTTACATTCAGTTTAAGCAATAAGCAAACTTAAAAATTATATCTCTCTATCGATCTCCTGCATTTGTATGTTAAGCAGAAACTTGATGAAAAAAAATTAGATTCAATTTTACAACGGAAGACAACCTAAACGAACAATAATTCTATAGTATAATATTCAATTTCGAAAAATAATTGCTGAATTAGAGATGAAATCGAAACAATTTTATACCTATCAATTAAAAAGTAGTAAAGGACTAATAGTGGTCATAAAAGGCATAGAGGCAGGAGTTGATATTAAAGAAATTCATGATACGCTTAAAGAAAAAAACTTCGAAGCAAAAAGTGTATTTAATATCTTAAATAGACACCGTAAACCGCAACCAATGTACAAAGTTGAGCTGTATCCAGTCAGCAACAATCCTATTTATTAACCTATTTAACAATCCTATCCCATCCTATTTATTTGCTTCGCTTTCTTTTAAACAGAAAAATTACTATTGAGGAGACGCACAAACATGATTTTCCAGTACAGTGTTTCAAATGTCAGGAATATGGACACACTAAGTCATACTGTAAACTTGCCAAGGTTTGTGTTATTTGTGCCAAAATCCATAGCTCAGATAAATGTCCTGAAAGCAAAGAAAACCCAGCAGTTAGAAAATGCTCAAACTGCGGTGATAGCCACACAGCAAACTACAGAGGATGTCCAGTTTTCACTGCTCTAAGACTAAAATTAAACGTTGCCCAAAGACAGCGCACCCCACAGCTTAATCTGCCAAATTTCACAACATCTCATTTTCCGCCCCTGCCAGAGAATTCTGGTCCTGGATTGCAACCACCGGCTCCACCAATGCAGCAAATGACGTACGCAAATGCCACTAAACAAATCCCACTTCTTACCAATAGCTCCAGTGTTGTTCCAGGCTTTGAAGCAATGCTCGCAAGTTGTACCCAAAAAATTGAACACTTCATGGACTTCATGCAAAATATGATGAATAGCTTGATGCAAAGCATGATACAAAACCAAAGTTCGATTGCTGAGTTGGTAAAACCCAAATGAATGCAATCACAATATGCCATTGGAACGCAAACGGCTTAAGTCAACATGTATTGGAAGTAACTAGATTTCTGGTGAGTAACAATATCGATATACTGCTTATATCCGAAAAACATTTAACCTTCAAAAACTGTTTTCGAGTTTATGGATATAAGTTTTATGACCCTAAACATCCAGATGGTAAAGCATGTGGTGGTTCTCGAGTACTTGTTAGAAACACAGTACAACATTATCAAATCCAAAAGCATTGTTTTAAATACCTTCAGGCTACATCAATTTGTGTTATTTCTGGTCTAACTAAAACCGTCATCTCACCAATCTATTGCCCACCCAAATTTGCTATTACTTGTGATCAATTCCGGAAATTTTTTACTGATCTCGGTCCTAACTTTCTGGTTGCTGGGGATTTCAATGCTAAACACACCTTTGGGGGTTCTAGACTGATGTTTCCAAGAGGTTGTTAACTGTATGCAGCACTTGGCAACAGCCTTGATGTTGTGTTCTCAGGTCACCCAACATACTGGCCATCAGACAATCGAAAAACACCAGACTTAATCGATTTCGCAGTCATTAATGGTATGAAACGTGAAGGTATTACTGTTAAATCATCTTATGACTTGTCCTCTAACCATTCAAATGAGCAGAATAAGAAAACTCCTATAAACTGGAGGAATTACAGAAATATTATTAATGAGGAAGTAAGTTATTACTCAAATTTTAGATAACCCAAACAAATTGATAAAGCAGTTGATCACTTCACCAAGACATTAAATAATGCTGTAATTAAAGCCTCTCAACCAAAAAGGTCAGTCCAGTCAAATATAGCATTTCAATCACACATTGATTATCTTATATCCCGAAAACGACAAGCCAGGCGAGAATGGCAAAGACTTCTATCACCCACCTCAAAACAACGATTAAATAAAGCTTCAAACGATCTTAAAAAAGCCCTATCTGATGACAAAAACCACTCTTTACAAGAATAGGCAACGAAGAAATTTAAAACGCCAACACAAAATGACCCAAATGACCCTTAGAAAACTGGATCGTTCTTGGGCTCGCAATGACGAAGAAAAAGGTTGTATTTTATCAGAACACCTAAAGGGCGTCTTTCAGCCAAACCCACAATTATCAGATTTCCAACCTAACATCGAATCTCCTTCTATTGTTGAAACTCCCCTTACGTTGTGATTGGATAACGTCAAGGAAACTACCCGAACATTTGCCAATCTCAAAAAGGCACCTGGGTACGATAAAATTACGGGAAAAATGATTCAACAATTGCCTGATTCAGCAATAACTTTTCTAACGGTGATATTTAACAGCATCCTCGCTTTTGGCTACTACCCGAAGCAATGGAAAGTTTCAAAAATAAAAATGATTCCAAAAGCAGGAAAGAACCTAACTTTGGCATCATCATATAGACCAATTAGTCTTTTGCCCCAGTTATCCAGTATCTTTGAGAAAATGCTCCTGTCATATATTATGCCAATAATAACTCAAAACAATGTGATCCCAAACCACCAATTTGGATATCGAACAGGACATGGCACTCTGAGCAAGTTCACAGAATTGCTAAAGAAATACATACTGCCTTTCAGCACAAACAATACTGTTCCGCCGTTTTCTTGGACGTAGCCCAAGCTTTTGATAAGGTTTGGCACGAAGGTGTTATGTATAAAATATAATATCATCTTCCTGAAAATATGCATAAGCTATTGTATGCATATATATCTTCTAGAAAATTTAGATTGAAATACAATACGTTTATTTTAAGAGAAATCGACATAATGGTTGGTGTTCCTCAAGGAAGCGTACTGGGGCCGTTTCTGTATATAACCTACACAACTGATCTCCCACTACTCTCAAATCACATACTTGCTACTTTCGCGGATGACACTGCAATTCTTAGTTCTAACAGTGACCACATAAGGGCGTCCCAAAGTCTCTTAACTCACTTAAGTCTATTAATCTATTAATCTACTTAAGTATTATTAATCTTAAAACCTATCTGGTCCTATGGTATAGAACTCTGGAGTACAGCATGTGCTTCTAATATCGAAAAAATACAGAGTTCAAAACAAATTGCTTAGACAAATAACCGGTGCTCCTCGATATCTCAAAAATGTACATATCGAAAACGATCTTGGAATCCCAATTGTTGCAGACGTCATTAGAAAATGCGGCAAAAAATACAGTGGCTCACAGCTTATTTGATGCAAGCAAAAATTTTTTAAAAAATGTTGTTTTTTTCAAAATATTTTGCAAAATTAAAAAAACAAAGTATGCAGAGTTATTGTTTATCGTGTGTTTATTCATTTAAAAAAAAAAACCCAAAAATCTTCTTCCATTCCTTAGTAATGCATCAAAAACCAAAACCAAATGAAAAATTCATGTCACAGCTTAAATGATGCAACATCAAAAAAACTTATATTTTTACAAACTTCCGGACTAATTCTAAGTACTTAGTACTTTGTTGGATATCCCTTATTAGTAATAACAGCATGAAGCCTTTTTGGCATGGAATCAACCAGTTTTTTGGTATAATCTGGACTAATTTTACTCCACTCTTGCTGTAAAGCGTTTCTTAAGTCAAATTTGTTGCGGATGTCATGTTTTCTGATATTTGTCTTCAAAACGGACCACAAATTTTCAATAACGTTCAAGTCTGGTGATTGTGCAGGAGTTTGGACAATGTGTGGACATTGCCATATCAACCACGTTTGTACTAATGCTGACTTGTGCTTAGGGTCGTTGTCTTGGCAAAAGCGAAAATCATCTGCAATCTGCAATTTCGTTGCACTTTGAATCAAATTTTCTTGAAGAAGCTTTAAGTAAATATTTTTATTCATAGATTCTTCGATGAAGACCAAATTTCCTACTCCATTTGATGACATACATGCCCAAACCATAACATTACAACCTCCGTGTTTTACGGTAGCACGTAAATTTTGTGGTTTGAGCTCAAAATTGACTTCGCGCCATACATAAGATCTTCCATCTGATCCAAATAAGTTTATTTTGACTTCGTCTGCAAAAAATACATTTCGCCAAAATGCTGGACTCTTATTTAAATGCTCTCGTGCAAACTGCAACCTTTTAATTCTATTTTTTGCACTTACGAAAGGTTTCTTTACAGCTATTCTTCCATTGAAATTTGATTCTCTCAATATTCTGCGGACGGTTTCAGGATGACAAATTTTTCCAAAATCTATTTTGGCCATGTCTGTCAACTTTGGAGCGCTAATTGTTGGATTTTTTCGAATTTGGTTTACCAAATACCTCGATTCTTTTTCTGTAAAAATTTTATTGGGAGCCTTTCGTCCCTTATTTTCTATGCGATTTTCATGTACGAAGCGTTCAATTATGTGTTGAACTGTTGAAGGGCTTATATTTACCATTTCACCAATTTTACGCCGGGGAATTCCCTTTTTAAAGTACTCCAACACTAACTCACGCTTTTCAATTGATGTGCGCCGTCCCATGGTTAACAAAATGCACTCACTTTAATTTTTATAATATTTTCGCTCAAAAACTAGATTACAAATGATCGCAGAATAAAAATATTTTAATTTCTGTGTAATCTGGCGACAAAAATAACGGTATTCTTAACTGCATCATTTAAGCTGTGACATGAATTTTTCATTTGGTTTTGGTTTTTGATGCATTACTAAGGAATGGAAGAAGATTTTTGGATTTTTTTATCTTAAAATGAATAAACACACTATAAACAATAACTCTGCATACTTTGTTTTTTTAATTTTGCAAAATATTTTGAAATAAACAACATTTTTCAAAAAATTTTTGCTTGCATCAAATAAGCTGTGAGCCACTGTATAAAGTGAAACTTCACCAGCATAGTAATCCAATGGCGCAACAGCTGCTTTCTGATACCACAATATCTAGACTTAAGCGAAAAAGCTTCATACCACCTTAACGTAATTTTTCTAAAAATGTTGCTATAAATTTTGATAATAATAACCCATTTCATTTTATTACAAAGTGTAAACTCCTTTTTTGCACCTGCTAATTGCATTATTTTTAGTTTTTAAGATTTGATTACATAATTGTCAATTTCTAATTAGAAAGATACAATTAAAAATAAAATAATATAAACAAAAAAAAAATAATATTCATTCTATAATTTTCTGCAGAATAAAATAAACCTATTCTGTAATAAATTTGATTGAAGTTAATTATTTATTAATATATATAGTACTAATATGCTCATGGTTTATTTTTATAGTGAAATCAGTATTTAATTATTTACTCAGTAAACTAATCTATTGTACACCAGCAAATGCATATGTAAAGAACCGAACATTTACTGTTATGTATATATCTTATTTTATATTATTTTAATATTAAACACATCTATTTTTCGTTTTTTATGCTTTGAAAAATCAATTTTTTACCTGTTTGTTCCTCTTCGCTGATATCCCTTTCTTCTTCAACGGATGCGGTTTCATCATCTCTAAATCGGGATGTATATTATTAATTTCATAATTGAAATAGTGTTGTAGACTTAAGGCGGGTTGATTTTCTTCATTTAAAGAGTATAAGAGAACACGATTCTATAGAGCATTATGAGTAAAAATATTTTAAGCTCCAAAATTACACAAAATTGATTTCTCTTCTGGTTCCATTCGTGCAGAATAGACTAATACTTGATTAATTTAACTTGGTATTTAAGTCTTGTGGCAAATATACAGTGTCCAATTTAAAAGTAATTCGAACGATATTATTTTTTGTACATCTTTTTAAAATAAGCAAAATTCACTATTAACATACGGTTTCTTGATTACGGTTATTCACAACAGTCAATAGAATTTTGTCGTGTTATACGCTTTTGTCATAATCTTTCTTTCGAACAAATCAACCTGCCTTAATTGTTATAGTTACATTTTTTCATCTTCCAGGTCATGATCATATGTATTCATTTCTAATTCAATGTTTATAGCATTTATATCTTCCAAACTTAGAGTAGGACTCCGGGACTTTTCTTTTACTTCTTCATGTTCATCTTCTTTTTCAACAGATGAAAGGGAATCTGCATCTGCTAAATTATCTACAGCTATAGCCAAAAACACATTTAATAATATATAATTTCCGCATATAAAAAGTATTATGAAGTATATGCAAGCTAGGACACCAAAAGAAAAGACTCCTCCATATGCGCGTATTCCATCATACATTACTACGTTCCAATCCTCGCCTGTAAGTATCTAAAATTGAAAATTTTAATGTATTTATTTAAATTTTTATTTATATCCTTAAGTTTTTTATTACTATTATTACTCTTAATTATATATTATATTATATATTTATATTGTGTTTAGTAATATTTATGTTAAATATTTTTATTATATATAATATAAATTAATAAGTTTATTTTTTTTTAATTTTTTTATAATTTATGTGTTAAATAAAGGATCTAAAAATCGGTCGGTAATCGGTAAAAAAAATTGGTAAAAATTAATATATATCCGTAAGTTAATTAATCATACCTGAAAAACAGTTAGCAAACTCTGCCAGAAACTGTCAAAATTAGAACGAGGTTTTTCTTCTTTGGGCTCAAAATTAAACTTTCCACCAAATACTTGCATGCCTAGCAAAGCGAATATTACAATAAAGAGAAAAAGTAATAAAAGTAAAGATGCAATTGATTGTATTGAGTTTAAAAGAGAAGCAACTAAATTGGATAAGGATCGCCAATATCTGAAAAAATAAAAAAAAATATGTATTACAGTACCATTTTTTATTAGATGGTTATTTTAGCATTCATAAAGTATCCCTTCTATTATTTATCCCTTATATGAAAATCATAATTACATACTATTTTATCGTTAATAGTGAGAAGTTTTTTTAATTGGACTTATGGAAAATGATACCAGCCATCATTGATTTTTCCATGTATAACACAGAAATACCAAATATTTTCTTTTTTTTTAATCTTCCCATTATTTATAAAAGTGCCAAGTTTGGCATCTATTTTTCATAGTGGAAATTAAAAAAATATAGTTCTAGCCTTGATAAAAGTGTTTCTAACAATTTTGACATAATTAGTCAATTTGCTAATTGGTCTGTAAAAGCTTGTGAGAGTTATGTCTTTATTTGGTTTGGGTATAGTTATCACTTCTGATACTTTCCATACTTTTGGAAAATACCTAAGGCGAAAAGCACAATTAAATATATTTCTCAGGTATACAAGTGTTTGTTCAAACAGCTCAGTCAGAATCTTTTCCGTAACACTATCATATCCCGGTGATTTGTTTAATTTGATCTTATTTTTTGTATTATTTTTATCTCTGTTATGGAGACTTTCATTACTGCAATATTCCGAGTAGAGCTGCTTTGTGCTACGTCGCTATTTTGCTGTTTCGGGTTACTAAACGTAGCTTCGAAGTTAGCAGCAAAAAAGTTCAACTTTTTCGGAGTTGGTTCTACCCCAAGTCCCATTTGCTTTTCTCAGAGGTGGTTGATGCATTACAGAGTTGTTAATATTTTTAGTTGCTTTTCATAACAAATAGTTTGTGGCTTTGTCAGCTGTCAAGTTATGCGTTATGCGTTTTTGCAGGTTTTCATTTTTCTCATTAAGTAATAAATCTTTAAGTTTAAGCTAAATATTACTCCTACCTTGTTTCTTTATTATTTATATTTATATTTGTTACACTTTAATCTTTATTTTAATTTTAATGAATAAATGTAAATATTTATCGCGACCACTACAGACACGAAGTCAAAAAAAAAACAATCACACCTTAAATCAAAACAAAGGCACAAACACAAGAAATGTCAAAAGAGCTTCTGCGAGGAGAACTTTTTGCATAAATTGATGCTCGCACATATGATTAAAAGAACTGCAGCGAAAAAAAAGTAGTACGCAAAAGAAATAAAACATCTGAAGTCTGTCGGAGGGAAAGCTAGGTTCATTGATCGTCAAACGCATAACTGGAACTTATATTTTACCAGTTACGAAAAAGGAGAATAAAAGCGGCAGTCAGTGAAACAAGAGCTGTCTTTGACTCGTGATTTTTAACCATTACATGTGATAACCGCGGCAGTTTGTTTTTTTTTTGCTTCTTGGTAAAATTATAGATAGTTTTTTTGTATTTTAAATTTTATTTTGTTGTTGTTATAAATTGAACTGCAAGTAATGTAAAAGAATATAGAAAAAAAAAAGAATAATTTTTCCTTTTATGTTGTGAATGAGAAAATATACACGAAATAAGCGCTGTCTAGTTGGAACATTAAACATTGAATATAGAAAATCGGCTAAATTGAACGAAAATAATTTTCAAAATCGTTATATTTAAAAATAATACTGGCGAATAAAAAATATGCAATAATTCTCACAGAAACCGTCGCAGAGTTGTTAAGTGAAATTTTCGTTCCTTGCCGCACTCCCAAATTCAAGTGAAAGATTACAAGTGAACTATAACTTAAAGTAGGCTTTAATTAAACTAAACTACCGCACTAAAAAATTGAAAATAAATTCATAAAAAAAAAAAATAAACATTTGAAGCCTCACAAGAAAGAAATGAACTAACTGGAATGCGAAAATAACTAAAATAAATTATTTTATAGGATACAGACAAGAAATTTGTGGAATTCTATTGTCAGTACCATATAGTTTTCATTTTAAAGAAAGACTCATTTTCAAAGAAAGATATTAAAAGCTCTCGAAGATTAAATTCACGACATTGCCTTCTAAATTAAAAGTAAACTTATGTAACAAAGTGAAATTAATTAAAATAATTTATAAAGAAGATATACAGAAGAAATTTGTGGAACTCTACGATCTGTACCATCATTTAATATAATCATGCAAATGAAATTATTGGCATTAAAAAAACCAAAAAATTATATAACAAAAAAAATAAAAAAAAGAATGAAGAAAATCAAATAATAATGGAAAAGAATAATATAAGATAAAATTTTAAATTTAAATTAATAAAACGAAAGAAATGTGAAATATGTATGTATACATGCAAAAACAACAAAAAATAAAATCACAAAAGAAATCAAAAAAAAAAGAGAGGATTATGATAAGTAGCACTCTTTTACCACGCTACTCTTTTTCACGGATACGCCTACTCGTTGATGACGTCACCAGCAATAAAACTTATAAATAGAACAAAACCACAAACCCACTTTATATTCGTACTCTTAAATATTTTTATAGTATATAGTTTGCTGCCTATATAAATACATATGTATTACGTTTATCTATTTGTTTTTTTTCTTTAAATCTATGTTGATAACCAAATTTAAATTATAGGAAAATATTATCCTAACTAAAATAATAAGAAAATAAAATGAACCAATCATACTATAAATGCACAAACTTAATTTTCTAACTCCTTCTATATCAAAAATTAATTTAATTAAATATTCAATCAATTATAAAAATTATATAATAATAAAAAATCCTTAGAAAAACTTTATAAATATGTGTATATTATTTAAATTAAATAATAATTTTTTTTTATTTGTTCGCCACATAGCTGTTGTTGTTGTTGCGGCTTTTTGTGAATATTTTATAAATTTGGGATAATCAATCCATTTGCAAAATGAGAAAAAATCTTTTTCTTCAATATGTGGTTTTTGCCCTTCAGTATGATGTTCTTTGCTGCCTTATTCATGCCAATAAATAAGTGTGTGATTTTATTAATTCACCGCCATCTAATTTATAAAAATTCACTGTTACCAGTTAGTGGTTCATAGACATACGAAGACAACTATGTAGTTATTGTTTTAACTCAACGGTTATGTGGCAAGATCAGTTTAGAAATTTCTTCACGAATTAAATAAAATTGTATGGAGCGTAGATTGTATTTTTAATTATTTTTGTTTCACTGATAAACTTGAATTTTGATTTTTTTGTTTTTTTTAAAAAAAAAAGCATTCACATTAGCATACATTAAATGTTATGCACAATATTTTTTGTAGCACTAAAAGGTGGATTTTTTAAATTGTACATTTGTTTTAGGAATTTCTATTTTTTTCTGTTAATTTTTCATTTAATAATTTCATTTAATAAAAATAATGTCTTTCTCTTTTAACTGACATCGATTCACGTGCAACGTTTTCTTCCGCAAGATATTTTATGTCCCCGCTCGTCACAGCTATCCTCGATAATGTTCTTTTCGGGTCAACATTCGGAAGTTGAGCTAGATAATGATTGTCCTAAAACCACTCGCACAGATACTCTTACAACATATGAGCTTTCACCATATTTAATATCCACACTCTTAAATACTTTAATGTACATACTTAGCATCCACATAGCAACACAACCAAAAAAAAATATCCCTAAATTATATTAACTTGGCAACATATATCGCAACAAAACGCAGACCAGAAAAATAATGTATTAAATTAGATTAATTTCATTGAATTCAATTCCTTTATTTATCTTAATAAGTTAGATATAAATTGTATGCTATCAAATTATTTGAAATTAATTTTTTTTTCTTCAAATCTTAGATTAGAAACTTAGATTGTAGAAGTAAGGTATTAAATTTTTTTAAGTCAACTGAGTTCAATTTTTTGTTTCATTTTTTTTTGGTATAAGTTTTTTTCTTTTGGTATTAATTTGTTAAAAAAAAAAAGAAATTTTTAAGCAGAAGATATATATATAATAGATATTGACTGTAAATACACATCATTTATCCAGAAGTCGTGTTTTTTTCCTCTTTTTTTTTGTTTTATCTTGTAAGGACGAACATTTTTACATCAAATTTCCGTCTACATAAATATACACCGAGACTTATTAATATTTATTTTCACTAATATTAAATTCACTAATATTTATTTTATTGGAAATATTAATTATTAAATAATTTTACAAAATTATTATTAAAATTTTAATTTTTTTAAGTAATTAATTTTATTTATCTAAATAAATTTTATTAAATTTAAAACAAAAAATACACGCGCACATGTTACAAAGTAAACGGTACAAACTAATACAAGCAACAAGAAATGTCAAAGCATGAAAGCTTTTGTTGAACAAAACACAAAGAAAAGCTTTTCTTGCACTATAATAAACACAAAGTACGCAAGAAAAGCACAAAAAAAATAACACAAATAGTACAAAATATGCAGCAAAATGATCAACGCTCCGGCACATTCTGTATAAAAGGAATCGCATATGATATGACCGAGGACTTGGAACTTCACTTTGGAAGTGACAAGTACGCTGGCAGTGGTATTCAGCCCACTGGTTCATTAAACCAAAATCTGGCTCATTCAGCCGAAGTAATATAAACCTGGCCCATTCGGTCAAATTATTAAATTATTATCATTTTTTTGTTTAACCTGGCTCATTCAGCCAAATTATTATATTTCTTAACGCAGAGCATCCGTCGTTTACGAAAAGGAGAAGAGAACCCCAGGGTGTCACGCAGTCCTACCAGGAGTCCTCTCAACACATAAACCAAAGCCAACCGCAAAAGCATTGTTATCTTTTACAGCAGTGATCCCGTGTAATTGAGAGCATACAATTTACGTGTTCAGGAGACATAACTTCACCGCTATGATACGTAGAGATTTATTTGAATTATAAATGCATTTTGTTTGATACATATTTTTTTATTGGAGTAAATAAGTTTTTAATAAAATATTACAAAATTACGTTTCTTTTTCTTATCAATCAAAACTCTGTCTCAGCGAATATAAATTTGATTGTTCCGACCCTGGACGACGGCTGAGGA